TATCATCAGTCTCTTTGAGTTGAGTAATTTTTGTGAAAAAAAATGATAAATGAATCTTCGTATTGGCTTCCTCGTTCTTGACCATAGTAAATCAGAAAACTTAACAGATATGTCTACTACGCACACTAATACTTAAATTTCACTTCAATAGCTTTTTAAATGGCTCTAGAAAGGGTGTGATTGTGAAGTGTGGATGTGGGTGAGTGTAGACAAGAACCACATCCTAATATAGTAATTTTCAATGAATTCATTCTTTGAACGTTTCGATCATATAACTTTCACAGTAGTGCAATTTCGATACTTCCAAATATAATTTCGTATTACAGACGTGTTACTACTAAATCTTTGAAAGTGCAACATAATTTTTTTTCTTTGATACTATTTTAAGTCGACACAAACAGGGTATGGGTTTAGGTGGGGCTGCATTTGTACCCATACCCAACCCACACGCAAATAGTTATTCTATGTTTTATGAGTGGGATTGAAAATAATGATTTTTGTGTTTGGTATCGCCATCAAGCGTTTTAACAAAAATGTCATTTTGTTCAGTTAATTCAAGAGTAAAATCATTTCATTGGTTACTCTTCAGTTCCAAATCGACCACGATTGGTGCTTGGACAGGTTGATAGCTCAAATTACAAGTTGATGCGTTCACAAATATGGTTGAACCATTTTCTAGTCGTCCATATGATTCATGAATATGTCCAAAAACGTGTAAACGAGGTCTGATAGACATGATCCGTGCAAGCATTTGAGCACAGCCAACATGTATGCCTGCACTATTTTCATCAAGAATATTTGTAGGTGGACCATGTGTCAAAAGAACATCGACATCATTGGGAATTCGGGACCATGCTTCTTTGATTTCGATACTGTTGCTTGGCAAATTAAAGGCCCAATTATGAAACTCTGGTTGATAAGGACTAAATGAGAAAAGAAATTACAGTAGTACAGAGGAAAACAGAGCTATGCATCTTACCTACCATAAAATTTCAGGCCGGTGACATTGTCAATAAATTGTTGTTCTTCCAGATAAATAATCCCATAGTTGGCTGCCAAAGACGGATCATGCACGAGCCGCCCAATCAGTTCCCAATTTTGTTTTCGACCACGATGCCATCTTTCCCAATTTTTCTCATAAAAAGCTGGTTGTAGAGTTATATCATGATTACCCGCAATGAACACTTTCAATCGGTATTGAGTAAGAGATTTGAGACAAGTTATGAAATTTTCGATTTCACTTTGCTCGCCTGACATCGAAAAATCACCTGCATGAACAAGAATGTCTCCAGCTGGAAGTGCAAAACCATACCGTGAGTGTGTATCACTAATACAGACAATACGCGTCGTTTTAGGTTTGCTATTAGCCATATTTGAAAAAAATGTACGACGACAAGTACCAAGAAGACAATATTCTTGCACAGTAAAAAAAATTTGTATATTTTTTTTACTTATTATTCGTGTATGGTTTGTAAGAGAGAATAAGAAAAGAATGAGAAAGAGAACGAATTTTATACTACGCACATGGTGAAATTTGATTTTTCAACATTGTTGACAAAGTGTGTCGTCGTCACTGGGTATAAACCCACTACGACAAAATCAACTTCACATTTACTCTCAGGATGTGAGCGCAGTTATGAAGAAGAAAATACTACCTTCTGTACCCACATTCAGACATTAATCGATCATACCAGAAAACAGTTGTTTGCATGCACAGCGGATGTGGGTGTGAGGGTATCGGTGTGTGGATGTGCGAGTGTGGGGTGTGGGTGGGTGTAGGCGTGGACATCGTAGCCTTTTGATTCCTCGACAGTCATAACTACACTCAAGCCAATATTCACAACAACGTGTACAGCTCACACCCACGCCTTTTTTCGAAAGATCCATAGCTTGAGTTTCAATAAAATGTGAATTAGCATCTAGCCAAAATGTCCATTTGTCAAGAAAGCTATCTAGTATGGATTTTTATATTCTTGGTATTGCCACATGTTTCCATCTGTCTACGAAGATTTTCATAATATTCTTTGAACTGTTTGAAACAGTCTTCTTCGATAGTAATTCTTTCATCAAAAAATTTCTGAACCATCTTCAACCATTGTAATTCGTTGACATATCGCGTATTTTTCAGCTGAAAAATTTTGGAACTATATGATCCACCATATTCTTAGCTTCAAATTAGTTACACTAAGCTGTTCGGAACCTTCTTCATTATATCCGGCTGCTCGACCATATGCTTGCTCTTCGATGCGACAATTGACTGATAAAAACGTCCAAATTACATGCAGTCTATAGGCTTTGACTATTTCTTGTTCAAGCTTTATACCAATACTACGATCGGCCAAATTTTTTGCTACAATTACTTTTCCGCAGCTTAAGGACGCATTTTCTTGCCCAAAAACAAATTCTTCATGCTTTCGTTTATAAACATAAGCATTTTTGAAATTGTCATAAAGTTTATTGTCTGGATAATGTTCTCCTTCTTTAGTTGCTTGTTTTATAAGATGTTTTGCTATATAATCAACATCCTTCACTGTTTCGCCAATGATTAAGACAGAACGTCATTTCAGAAGTTTCCTTTTTTGCTTCAGTATAAACGTTATATATCCATTGTTCTGTGTAACCAGCTATTATTGACTGTTCTTCGAAGAAATGCTTTGGGTTAGGCGTTGAAATTTTGATCAAATTGACTGCATAGAGTTAATTGAGAAATGCTTTTTTCTTATGTTGAGAGTGTGGGTGTGGATGTGCGTGTGGGTTTGTCTAAAGTAAACACCCACACCCAGCATTTTCCTTAGCTACCCCTCCCCCTCAGAAAATATTTCATGGTCTTCATGATGTCTCTTTTTCAAGAATTCCATCGAAACCTACATCAAACTTTATCGACAAATTTCAAATATCGTTGAAAAAAATTCATCTATTCAGAAGTTATGGTGTTTTGAATTCCTGAAAAAGTTTTTTCGAAACGTTTTGAACCTTAAAAATGTCCTAGAATCTAGATGGATGAATTTTTTTAAACGATATTTGAAATCTATCGATAAAATTTGATGTAGTTTTCGATGGAATTCTTGAAAAAGAGATATCATGAAGATCATAAAATATTTTCTGAGGGGGAGGAGTAGCTAAGGAAAATGCTACTTTTTTTTTTTGTAAACTCCAAATGAAAATTTTTCTTGATAGAAACTCATCCTATGAGTCAAATATCAATGCCCATTAGTTTTCATTTGGGACCCATGCTCTCAGGAGAAAATTTAGCATACTCAAAAAATTCTGGCTCTGCAACTAGTGTTAACAAAGCAATAATTACAATATTAGAGAATGGAAGGACACATAAGATAAGAATGTATATATCGTTTCGAAGTTACATTTGCCGACGAAGTTACAATTTCGGTAAAAATTCTTGTTGAAGTTGAATTGAATAATGTTAAAATAATTGATGATATTAAGATTAAAATATGTTTTTGGAATTATAGTTTCTCATGTTTAAACAGATACATAGATTTTTAAGAACAATCATTTAAGAAAATCATTCAAAAGAAAAAGTCAAAGATTATATTCTCTTTATTGACATGAATATAGATTTATTTATACAACCATAAGTTCTCATAGCTGATGAAATAGATCTATGGAATATTATGCTATGATATGAGAAACATATTAATTTTATAGTAATAAGAAAAATTCAAAAATTTCTCTTCGAATTTATTGTTTTTTATCACAAATAAAACTCCAAATCATTCATCTATTAGGAATAAGAAATTTCTTTAAGCATTATTCAGATATTGTCCATCGAAGAATTAATAGATTTTTATACAATCTATTATCTTTTTTACTTTTCTCTTTATTTTGAAAAACAAAAACCAAAAAAAAATTTTGTTTCTCTTTTTTTCTGTTTGATTTTTGAACTAGTTCAAAGATTGAGAAAAAAAAATTCAATCAAGAAATATTAGATGTTGGTAAATGAATATATAATATCTTCAAAAAATAAATTAACTTTATTTGAAATATTGAATTGTTCTAGTTTTTTTAATTTCATTTAAATATAATGATTATCATGTAATTGTTTAATCAATATTTATAATACATTGTTTACTATAATTTATATATGTACTGTTTTTATTTTTTTTTCTAAGAAATAAATATTTACAGTTAAATCAGTACCTGATTTTATTCTTATATAATATTTATCTTTAAGTAAATCATCAATAGAAGCTAGAATTAATTTCTTATATACTGATAAATATCAATATTCATTATCATTATCATTATCAATATTATTATGAAAATATTTTGGAAATATATTATCCATAAATCTTCATGAAGATAGATTTCTCGATTGTTGATTTGTTGTTGTTTCTGTCGTCATATTTTTGTCTTTCACATTGGTTCAAATGAATAATCAAACATTTTTAAAGTTTCACTTTTAGAATGATTATATAAAGCAAAAAGAACATTCCTTTTTAATATGAAAAAAAAGCATTATATACCGAATATATTTGAAGAAACGATAGATTTTTTCAGTACCTTGTACATCTCATAATCTTTGTAAATATTTTAATATTTGACCATTGACTGATTTCTCTTTTATACGAACATTTGAAGGTTTTAATTCGCAAATATATTCAATAAAAATCTTCAAGATAGTCATCTTGTTGATTAATATTGATATTTATATTTTTAAACGTGAATTTAGTATGACGATATTTTTCTTCTAAGTAATATTTCTTGTGTATTGAAATATTTTTATGATGTAAAATCATTAAATATTTTTAATCGACTAACTATGAATTCATCAAATGATTCTTGAAATTCGTTTTCTATTTTCTTCGAGTATAATGTAACACTTTTAAATAGTTTTTAATACAAATTTATATACTATCATTAAAATGATGATTATTTTTTAATAACAAGTCAATATCGAATTCATGAATATTATTTTTAACATAATGATTATAACAATCAACAGGAGGTAATTTTGCCCATCTATCTTTTGTTGATAATGATCATTGCTCAGCTTCTATATTTAATCGTTTTCTTGATTCTTCTTGATCTATTAGTAAACTTTCTAGTTGTTTTCGTTTTGTTTCTTCTTCTGTTTGTATTTGTTTCGTTTTTTCTAGTTCAATAAATAATTGTAATTTTAAGATTTCAAAAGTTTGATTTTGATTGTTAGCGATAAGCATATATTGGAATTTTTGTTTTAATCTAAAAAGATAAAAAGAAAATACAGAATAGAGTTATTATTTTACTCTATTTCTTTGATCATTTTTTCTTTTGGGCTGTGCTCAAATAAATAGAATTTTGTCATTTGCTTTTTTAGTATTTCAACTAAGGGATCGCATTTTCCTTAGTTAATATTTTATTCGCATTGAATCTATACATTTAAAAAAACAAAATGAATTATAACAGATTTAGGTATGGAAAAGTTTTTCCAATAGAGTTTTTAAAGTAATAAAACTTGATGACGGATCAAAGTTATCTATTAAGGATAATAGATTTGAATAATCTTGATTAGTTTCTTGAAGATTTTTCCATAGTTTTAATGAGTTGGACGTTCTGTCCTTAAAACATTCGATGGTTCGAATTGATTCTAACTCTGCTTTCACATTGCTATTATTCATATACATTATAATATTTAATGCACATTTCAAATCAAAAGTTCTTTCATAATCATAAACTGAAGAATATAATGAATTCAATGATGATAAATCAATAATGAAATTTAAAAATTGAAGTCCAGCAAATGTTATTCTACCTTCTATTGATAATTCTTTTGTCATTTCATTAATGTTGTATGTTGTGGCGAAACCAAAATCAATTAATTTTAATTGTTGAATATGACTATCAAACATTAAATTTTCTATAACTAAATCACGATGAATAACATGACAATCATATAAATATTGAATAATATCAATAAGTTGTATCGATTGAATTAATGGTAAGACTTTTATAGGTTTCAATTCATTTGTAAATAATATAAAGTTACCTAAATAGAAAAACAAAATAAAAATAAATCTTATACCAATATGCAAGAAAAAGAAATTTTCGACATCAAAGTTATTTATTTCTAATTTTATTCTTTATTTAAACATATCTATAACTGTCATTTACTGTTTAACAAGTTCAACTAGAACAATCTCTGTTTTTTTTCTTCTTTTAAATACACTTACAAAAGTCGACTGTTTAATTTTTCAAAAGGAACATCAAATTTTTCTAAGAATTAAAATAATTTTTCCAAACACATAATGAATTTTTCGTATAGATTGAAAATTTCTTCTCAAAAGAATAGAACTATTAAAGAAAAATTGATTTAATTTCTAATAATCTTCGTATATTAATTTATCTCAAAGCGTTTCTCGTTCGAATTATTAATTTTTTTCTTTAATCAGCTTCAACCTTTTATTTTAGTACAACTATATAGAATAAAAATGTTTTAATTATTCGACTGGGTCATAATGAACAGGATGCAAATATTCTAATTATTCTACAGTGGCGGCCAAAAGTATGGCACCACTTTTTTGTTTTGAGTCGTGTATTAAAACTACACAACATTAATTTAAATTCAAGTATGTGCTTTGATAGCAGAGATCGAGCACTATATTTATACATATGTTCAATTCGAAAAATTCTCAAATACGAACTACTGTGAGAAAAACAAATTCTAGTACTAAGAAATAGAACTTACATAAAAAACTACAGATTGATGTTTTTGTTACAGGATGCTTTTATAATCAGTCAATCATAAAGAAACACAAAGCATTCAGAAAACTTTTCATTTTATCACATTTTGTAGAGCTCTTTTCTCTGTTCATGTTGGTAAAAAAAGATGTTCGATTTTATTGAGAGATGAATATGTTATAACTAAAATACTGAACAGTGAGATGTCCAAAAATGTCTTCAACACAATTTGTTTTGGGAGTATATCTGTACAGACAAATGATAAAACCTTGGTTGTTTCTTCAAAAGATGTGCCGTAAATAGATCTACAAAAACTATCCTTATTGAGTTGTTCTTATGGCTTCTTTCATACTCAGCATGAAAAAAATGCATGATAATGCTACTTTTCACCATAATTAACCTCATTAAAATGTTAGAAAAGCTATAATATTTTGAATGTATCTCAGTTTGAAAAAAATGAAAACACCTTGATTTTTGCTTGAAAAGATGTGCTGTTAAAAGCTCTACAAAAGTTGCATAAATAAATTCCTATTGTAACCAAAAAAGTCTTTCAGACATTTTTATGTTCAATTTGTAGTTTTTTATGTAATCTTTTTCTTAGTACTAGAGTTTGTTTTTCTCACAGTAGTTTTTATTTGAAAATTTTTCGAATTGAACAGATGTATAAATATAGTACTCGATCTCCGCTATTCAAGCATATACTTGAACTTTAATTAATATTGTGTAGTTTTAATATACGACTCAAAACAAAAAAGTGGTACCAGACTTTTGACCGACACTATAGTAGCATTATTTTATATCGATGAGATTTCTTCTAACAATATTTTATTGAATTTTGCTTTGTCCACTTGTGATGAGAAAGAAAAATTTTCCTATTTTGTTACTCGTTTAAATTTCAATGTGATGATATTATGTGAGAACTGACTTCAATCTATATGTATTTTCATCCGAAAACAATCCCATTCTTAGGGCAAATTAAAATGTCAACTGTAGCACTTTTATGATTTTAACTCTTCTGTTTTTCTTCCTCGTTTTGTATCAAGAAAAATTTTTTTTTCAAAGTTTTCAATCTCAAACAATTTCAAAAGCAATAAAAAACCAATTGGTAGAACATATCAAAAGTTTTCTTTTCCAATTCATTTCGTTTTGCACAAATAGAAAAAGCTATTCTTATCATTGATCTATTATGAATAAGAAGTTTTTCTATGCCTTATACAAATATTTTTTATCGAAGAACTAACAAATCGATTTTTATATTCTAGAATTTCATACAATCTACTATCTATTTACATTTCTCTTTATCTTAGAAAACAAACGAAAAAAAAACTTTTCCTATATTTCACTGTGTAACTTTTGAACATGTTGAAAAGTTCAAAAAAAAATCAATAAGAAAAATGTTACCTGTTGGCAATGAATATATAATATCTTCAAAGAATAAATTAAATTTATTTGAAATATTTAATTTTTTTAAATCTTCAATTATTTTTTATTTCATTTAAATAAAATAAATATTTAGTTTGTGTACAAATTTTTATGACACAATGTTTATCATCATCATTATTAATATTATTTTGATTTTTTTCTAAGAAACAAACATTTGAAATTGGATTTCGTCCTAATTTTCTTCTAATATAATATCTGTCATTAAGTAAATTATCAATATAATTGAGATTTAATGTCGTATATTGATAAAAATTCATATCCATTATTAAGAGTTTTGTGAATATAATCCATGTATCTTTATGAAGGTATATTTTTCTTGATTGTTGATTTGTTGTCATTGTTATATCTTTTTTTCGTATTGATTCAGGTGAATAATCAAACATTTACAACGTGCGACTTTCATAATAATTATATTCATCTGATGATGGCTTCTTTTCTACATAGAAAAACTTTAAATATTTTGAATTTGCTAGTAAACCATAGCTTTTTTTACGATCTTGTAGTTCTAATAGTATTTGTAAGTATTGTAAGATTTGACCTTTGGCTGCTGCAGTTTCTATACTAACTTTAGGTCCTTTTAATTCGCCAAGATAAATAATAAAATCTTGAAGACAGACATCTTTTTTGTTTTTTTCAATATTCATATTTACATATTTAAACATAAATGCACAATCCGGACATTTTCCATCTAAGTAATCCTTTGTTGTATTGAAATATTTCAGTACTGTAGAATCATGTAATATTAATAATAATTCCTTTATGAATGTATTAAATATGTTTTGTAATTCTTTTTCTGTTTTCATGGAGGATAATGTAATACTGTTTAAATAATTTTCAATACAAATTTCTATAGCTTTACTGAAATGATTGTCATCTTGCAGTAAAAAGTTAATCCCAAAATCACGAATATTTTTTTCTACTTCAAATTTGTAAAAATCACTAGACGATGAATATCTTCTTCTACTGTTCCTTGTTGATGTCGGCACTTGTTCTAGTTTCCATTGTTTTCGGTCAAGAAAACTGAGCTCCACATGTAAACTCCAAATTTGGAGCTCACTTTCCCATCCACGTTTTACCATAAAATACAGTCGATGTTTTTCGGTTTAAAGCAGTACGGCCCTATTCGACTGAAAAACTAGGTCGAGTTATATCTGATGTTCAATAGATACATTGCATGGGATGCGAGTAGCATCAGCTGTGATGCTAGAGGCATTACCTGAATGCTAGAGGCATCATCTGGGATGCTAGAGGCATCACCTGAGATGATAGAGGTATCATCTGGGATGTTAGTAGCATCACCTAGGATGCTAGTAGCATCACTCGGGATGCTAGTAGCATCACCTGGGATGCGGGTACCATCACCTGGGATGCTAGTGGCATCACCTGGGATGCTAGTAGCATCCCAGGTGATGCTAATAGCATTACAGTTGATGCCTATAGCATTCCAGGTGATGCCTCTAGCATCTCAGACGATGCCTCTCGCATCCCAGGTGATGCCTCTAGCAACACAGCTGGTTTCTTTGGTGAGCTCCTAATTTGAAATTTACACAGTTCGGAGCTCACTTTTTTGACCCTGAACTTTATCACCTCAGCTGAGGTCAATGAGTAAAACGTGGATGCGTAAGTGAGCTCCAAATTTGGAGTTTACGCAGTTTGGAGCTCACTTTTCTTGATTCTTGTTCACGTAACAGGAAAAGATTTAGTTCTTTTCGTTTAGTTGCTTCTTCTGCGAACTTTCGTTTTGTTGCTTCTATTTCTTCGGTATGTTTTTGTTTTGTTTCTTCTTCGAACTTTTTTTGTTTTGTTTCTTCTTGTAATTGTATTTGTTTAGTATTCTCTTGTTGAATAAGTAGTTTTGATTTTAAGATTTCTAAAATTTTATTTCGATTGTCATCCATAATTTTATTTGAAGAATTTTTCGGTTTAATCTAGAAATAAGAAAGAAAACACAGAATAGTATTACTATTTAATGCTTGTGTTGTGATCATGTATATTCCGTTTTCCAAACTTTTCATTTTTAATAGATAATCAGAGAAAAAGCCATAATATATAATTTGATCCGATCTGAAAAAGTGTCTGCTAACTCTGAATATGAGTACAGCAGATTTCCATTCTTTTTTTCTTTACGAACGAAAAACTTGAATATGATTAGAGTGATTTAATGCTTCATAGCTCACAATTGAATTTTTGTTTTCTTTGCTTTTCATAGAAAAAGTCTAGTCTTTATTTCATATAACACAGAAGTACATTTACATACATAAAGGAACGATAAAGACGTCAACTACTAACTCATAAATGTCTGATATGCGTTTTCATGTGGCTGAACTAACACCAATTCTGTCTGGAAGATTGGATAAATTAAGTAGTGGTTTGTATGTGCATATAAATATTTTTATTTCTTATTCAATCACTATTGAACTGATATTAATAATGAAATTGACAGCGATAAAAATTCTTTATTACTGTCTACTCAGAATGACTGAGAGACTCTGAGTCAGAGCAAAAACAGTATAAGTAGAAGAGCGAACCAATAACAACTAAGATGCACTTATGAGTGTGAGTGCGCTCTTGTCTTGTTAGTCAGTACGCGTCCTTGAACTGCAATAATGCACTTTCGTAATTTTCCTATTTGCTTATTTTTTTCCTCAACTACTCCAATCATTCCGTGCATGACTGATAAGGTAACTGTTCTCATTCTAGTATGTACGCTAAGCGGAAAAAAGTCATCAAAATCGAGTTTTTACAGCCTCAAATTGATTGGACAAATTTCTACCCGAAAATTCAAGCTAATTTTTTTAGTTTGGAATCTCGCTGGCCGTTTCTAGCCCAAGCTTAGATCACGAGATATTCATAAAACTAGCGCCATCTATATGATAGTTTCACGAATATCTCGTGATGGCGACTTGGGCTAGAAACGGCCAGCGAGATTCCGAACTAAAAAAATTAGCTTGAATTTCTGGTAGAAATTTATCCAATCAATTTGAGGCTGTAAAAACTCGATTTTGATGACTTTTTTCGGCTTAGGCCTTGTCTCCACCAGAAAATTTAATACCGACTTAAGAAACTTGATTCGTGGAAAATTTAATTCGCATTTAATGCGCTTTCGAAAGCGAATTAAAGTTAATGCACCAATCAAAGTCTCATTAGGTTCATGTGCTCCAATTGAATTAATGAAAGCGACATTTTGTTCTAGATTCTGATTGATGTATTAACTTTCCAAGTGTAGACACGCATGATTTTAATACGAAGTTAAGGGCTTGTCTCCACTAGAAAAATAATACGGTATTAACTTCGTATTAAAATTATGCGTGTCTACCCTTGGAAAGTTAATGCATCAATCAGAATCTAGCACAAAATGTCGCTTTCATTAATTCAATTGGAGCACATGAACCTAATGAGATTTTGATTGGTGCATTAACTTTAAGGCCCCGAACAGACTGACTAATTCAAAGTGAATTAAGAAACACGATTGGCCTTTTTGCATAGCAACGCGAATTGTATTGGTTAATTCAGTTTTATCGTGTTCAGTCTGTTCGAGGCCTAATTCGCTTTCGAAAGCACATTAAATGCGAATTAAATTTTCCACGAATCAAGTTTCTTAATTCGGTATTAAATTTTCTAGTGGAAACAAGGTCTAATACCGTATTCTTTTTCTAGTGGAGACAAGATCTTAGCGTACATACTATTCTTAGTAATTAGTATGTACGCTCAGCCCGATGACTCATCAAATCAATATCAAATAATGCACTTTGGGGGAGCGCCACATGTCTAGACTTATTGTTGGAAGATACTATTAACACAGTACATTCTCGTACTAGGCCTATAAAAAATGGTGAAATTCGTTTCTCTAGCCCAAGAACGGTTTTTAAGATACCTGCCTAACAAAATATGGTATCCTATGGCAACGAAATTCACTTATTGAAACTTCGTAAGTAGAGAGAATCGAGTTCTGTGGCACTTTCCAATCAATTCAGCGCATCGACTAATAATGGAAGAGCTTGATTTGACTAAAAAATTGAGAAACTCAAACAAAATTTTTAGCCATGTCGTCTCAATAATAACGTCATTATAAATGATCTATGTTAGGATTGGTCAGAGTATTTTGATGATTTCATGGCACTGCCTCTTTTTTTTTAAAAACTAAATATACAGTTCGATAGAGGGTGGATGTGTGGGTGTGGGTGTGTGGGTGGGTGTGGGGTGTGGGTGTGGATGTGGGTGTGGGTGTGTGGTGAGGGTGTGGGTGTGGGTGTGTGTGGGTGTGGGTGTGGGTGAGGGTGAGGGTGTGGGTGCGGGTGTGGGTGTGTGGGTGTGGGTGTGTGGGTGAGTGTGGGTGTGGGGTGTGGGTGTGGGTGTGAATTTAAGTTTAAATCTTCTCGTCATATATACCGACATCCAGTTACCCACACCACACCCACACCCATAATAACACAGAGCACATTTGCAATAAGTCGTATTAGATCTAATATTTACGATTCACTGGCAATTCTTATGACAATTGAGGGGGCTCTGATAGCAAAGATCGGCCACAGCTCAAGTTACCAAACGAAACTAAAAAAAACAAATGCAATTAAATAATTAAGAAAACTAACGATTGGTATGTAAGCAACAGTTTTTTTTTCAAAATATGAAATAAGAACTCCTTCTTATCATTCATTTTCTTCTTGTTTAGCATGTTAGACTTATCAAATACATTGATTTTGAATAAAATGAGAAACAGAAAAATTGACGAAAAAGGATCGAGGCACATAAGATCACTAGGAATGAATTCGTTTTGATATTGCATTTGAATATTGCGTTCTAAGACTGCTAGAACGCAGTTTGTCGTTCAAGAAACGCAGGAAAAATTCTTCGAAACGTATTCCAAAAGAACTTTAAAAGCATTTTTACAAACAAGTTTTTCTATTTTCTGAGCACGATCTATTAAGCAAAAACATGTTTTTAAATGTTCTAGTTTTTGAATTTTTTTTATGAGAAGAATACAGTCAGGGTGTGGGTGTTAATCTTCCCTTCATTCATATTCACATTCATACCTACATTCACCTTCAATATGTATTTCGTTTTATAGAAATCGATGCAGAATTGAAATATTTTGCCAGATGGCTCCGGCCCAAAAAGAAAAGCAAACTTGTTGTGTAACGTTATAAGACAAATATTTCACAAATTGGATGACAATTCTGGCTATGGTAAACTAAAAGTATTTCTAGTCAAGAGTACCTTCGACGCGATTAAATCTATTTGAATTGATTACAAAAAGACTCCGTATAAAAAAGTTTCACATCTGAGTGTAAATTGATTTGAATAATGTCAGAATAAAGATGTAGTGAAGTTATCCGTTGGCTTACTTTCCAGAATATAGAGCACTTTCAAATATTCTTCAATGTTAGTCAGACTACCTTAAATTCGCTCTTCCAGACAAAAACCAAGTGCTTTAAAAATATATGTTGTTCCTAGCTACAAAAAAAACCCAGATTCATGAAATGAAGGACATGGATTTGAAAGAAACATACTATATCGAGTGTGCTATGAATGTAACATCAACATCCTTCTTCATTAACAGTGCGTAAATAGTCTATAGAAGTATCCTACTTTGTATTACATATGAATATTATATTAATAAATCACATTGATGTCATTTTCTGTATGATTGATTTTGGATCTTTGTCGAATTGCCAATTCATACTTATCAATGAAAAAACCGACTCATATCGGTAGTAAATGATGTTGTCATTCAGTAAAATATACTTTGAATAAATAGGATTCATCTGTTATGTCTGCATATGGCACTTAATCTTCATTTTACTATAAAAAACGAAAGTAAAATTGTTACTTTACTTTATCCAGTAAAGCAGAGTTAAAGGCCGACCTCTAGTTGTGTTCTGACAGAACTTACATAAAACTCATAGAAGTTATATTGATAGAAACTAGCATAAATATTTATGCCATTTGAATATGTATTTTTTCCATAAGCTAATGCGGAATAGAATTCTTTCAAGTGCCTGCAGAACTACTATGTAGCTATAGAATTGCCAAAAGAACGAAATGGCTGTATAGGCTGGGTGTGTGGGTGCGTGTATGTTTCTGGCGTTCATATTCACCCACACCCGCACCCACCCACACCACTCTGCTGCATTCTAGAAAGATAAAAACAATAGAAATTGATGATTGTATGAATGATTACGAGAAATTGCTAATTTCATCATTGTATACAATAAATCACAAATAGAATCGCAATTTATTCGACACTAGACACTAGCAACTGTTTTACTAAACATGCAAGTCACATTCATGCATATATGATCATCGTCATCACTAGTAGTGATAGCATTGATATCAGGAAAATATACTCGATAAGTCTTATAAAATTAAGTTTTTTTTTTTTTTTATTAGTATTGAAATTAGCATAAAAAATTGAAGCACATTGGTAAGAACAATGATCAAATTGCAAGTGAATTCAAAATACGCATGAAAATCATTCGTTTATATAGTCTTGAATGAATTTTCTTAATTTTAATTTAAGAAACGTTTCCAATACCTGTAGCCAGCGCAAGCGAAAGAACAAATATGATCAGAATGTGAAGTATAAGAAGAACAGTTTTTAATCGCTCTTTAAGTTCATTATCTCGGAAGAATCGTTCGTCAACCGAGGAAGTCTCACTATCATCGTTTTGAGTATCCATTGGCACAAGCTGGTATCTATTTTTAATGTTAAATAGTGACCATTTCTTACGATAGAAAATTTCAAGACATTCGAACAGAATGACTATAATAAACACCACTAACAACCATGCGACAAGTATTTTCCAATAGTTGCTGAGTTCAGAATTAAAACTGGTAAACAAAGTAGCAAGAAAAATAGCAGTAATCGAAAGAATCAATGCACCAATACCAACCATAGCATGTGCATAGTTAAAAATAAATCGATATCGATGATCAGGATGACATCGGAACAAAGCCATCATAGGTTGGACGATTGCAGCAATTACAACAAACATGCCGGTAATTGAATGGGCATATTCACGCGATAGATTTGAAGAAGTCCATTTACCTCTTTTATAGATAAGAATTAGTATGAATGCAAATACCGTCATTATTGCAGCAAAAGTCATAACTAATCGATGAATAGCAAACCATATTGGTTTATCACAAATTTTTCGTGTTGGCCAAGATTTTTTAAAATATCGAGCAAGAATAATACTAGTTGAAACACATAGCATCCAAATAAATAGCATAATAATACCATGAGCTCGTATTAAAACTACTGATCCTTCAAAATTGTTGATCGTTATTATTCCCGGTTGATTTAGTTGAATGGTTTGACTTAAAACATGTGTCAAGAAATGTTGCACTAATGAATCTATGATGTTAACATGAACAAAAATCGAATGTCTTTTTTCGTAATAAAAGAATCTTACTTGAACTATCGAGGGATCCTATGGCCACAAGAACAATATATTGTGTACTTTGTGAAAGCAAAGAAACGCTTCGTTTTTTTCGTCGATCTGCTGTATTGATAAAATTTGAAAGAGTAAATTCACAATAGGCCACGCCATTGTTGAGAGCTATTCTCTTTATTTGAAATATACCACCAAGATTTGAATCAGCAGTCATTAAAGTTGGATACGAGTGACCGTTAGGATTGATAAAACGTTGAAGTTGAATTGTATCGTCACTCAAGCGTTGACACACAAATACATGATCATTACCCTACATAAAAAAGCCACCAACAAATGAAATAAAGCTTTCAATTGTCCCATACCATTCTGTCATCAAGCGACAAGCCGATACCAAGCCATTGAGATGTTCCAAGATAGTTGGTAGCTATTGCAATAGTTGTTGTACCGTCAACATATGTCCAGTTCAAAACCAATGCTGCACCAGTCCGTTGAGGACTGATCGTAGTGGTGGCAACCACTGATGGCATCGAAGTCTGATAGACAACAAGAAATACATTTAAAAGACTCAAAAAGAATGAAAATAATATGTAAATCCCACAGTAGCTGTGTGCAAAATTGCATTGGTGATTATAATTGAATCACGAGGTGATCCTGTGGAAGAAGTCACTGATACAGAATTCTAAAACAAATATGGTCAATCAAATAAGGAATGAAAATCTTCAGTCAATTGGATGACCTACATTTTGAGAAGTCAGTATAATGCTGAAGCAGTTGACATAGAACCTGCTGTATGTGTGAACGATAGTTGCTCTAAGAATTCATAAGAGTTATAAAATGTTTTCTTTTTCCAAAAAAAAAAATTCTTCACATAATAATAGGAAGTTATTAAATTTCATTCTCAAGACAATTAACAAACTGGAAAAGTTCAAGCTTTCATTAGTTAGACTTGCTTTTGCAATAGATTTTACTTCATATTAGCCATTCTCATCTTCGTTATCAATGAGAAATTAGCTTATATGATGATTTTATCACAGTATTTGTCCCTAGTAATCAGAATATGAGGATATAACTGGTTTTGTTATTTTACTACTAGTTCACATGCTTTTCAATTACTTTTAACGTTCTCCTGATTGATTTAAATTAAACTAGATTAATCTATTAATGCTTTAACAGTTGTTCAACCCATAATTCTTCGCGAACTTTTCTTCTATATATTTATTTATTTTTTTCGAAAGAGAATATCAAGATCTAGGGCATGACAGAATTCTCTTTTTTTTTGAATTGATCTTTGCTACTATTATTTAAACGACAAGTTTTTGGGAGCTTTTTGAGACATTGTACTTTTCATGACTTTTTACCGCTATAAAAGAATTTAAAACACAGAACTCTGTCATACTTTTTCCAACAAAAAAAACATATATTGAATGAGAACTAACAGGAAATTTGGGGCTGGCAAATGAGCTATTTTTAATCCATGTCTGATAAATATCTCTTTAAAACGACACGTTATAGAACTAAAAACTTTTGTGGGATTTATATGTACCTGGCACAAAATCATTGTTTGAGAAGAGGAGTGATTCTTATGTAAAGTTGTACGAAAAGAAATCGTAAATGGTGATAATGGTGAAATAATGAAAGTTAGAACTTTCAAAGTTTGATTGATTGTTCTAGAAATGAAACTCAATTGGTTTCAGAGTTATCAAAAGAAAAAAAACACAAAAATATATGACATATAATTCACTTCGATTTTGTTGATAGATGTTGTGCACAGAGACAGAGCGAGAAACTTACTTGATAACAATATTTCCGTTGACTGTCGTCGATGGAGAGCTCCAATTCGCTTGAATTTGATATTTATTGTCTGGTGATACGTGTGTTATACCATTTGAGGATGTACCATCACAAGAAACAACAGTAACTGATAAATCTGTCGATGACCAACTGCCCACAATGTTTTGACTAGTCATATCTTTGGCAACCAAAAGAATACCTCTGAAAGTATTGGTGTTTGTTGCACCCCGAACAGTAACTGAAAAAAGTCAAGTGAATCGAAAAGAAAATAAGAAATTGAATCATTCACTTTGAATATTGTCGTTATTGTTGTATTGATACTTGTTCGCTTGGATCACATAATTCGACTGACATGTTTTTGAACCGATTTCATGAGAGGGCATCATTGAACCACAAGCAGTGGATGGTGCACCAGATGGATAAGTTTGAGCGATTCTTGCACGGTCAAAGACAAGAATAATCAACAGACTAGCGAACACTCTCATCTAAAAGTTCATACGTATTATCATAGATTTGTATCTTTTTGAACTAAACATAAAACAACTTCTGAAAAGTAATATGTTACCGATCTTTTTCTGAAATAGAATAAACATTACATGAACAGAAAACAAAAGTGATACAGGCATAAAAGTCGTTAACTAATTTTATTCTCTTTCTTACACAAAAAGCTGTATTTTCTTTTGACATCTATTTATATTCATTTCGACCGTCTCTTTGCCATAATTACATACTATTTACTAGTGACTCTGTAGGCAAGTATAGATGTTTTTGTATAACAACCTTCGCCTGCCTATATAAATTCTAGAAGCATAAGAGCAAGAAAGGAAAAGTACAAAACATTAAATGTTCCTCAAAGTATTACTCATATTCATATATAGTAACCATCAAGAATAGAGGCTTTATCACTGAGCCCAGTTGCAAAACTTCGACAGTTTACTTATCACTGGACTTGAAAAAAATGATCAAAATCAATTCTTTTATTTCATGATTAACTGTAAAATGAATAACGATCACTTATATTTTTCCAAACCGATTCGAGTTTATATGATATTGTAGTAAACACATCCTTACCAAAGGGATAAATGAAGAATTTATAATCGTGTGCCAAATGAATCGTTTCTAAATTTTACTATGTAAAATTCTGAAATATTTACTTCTGTTCACCTTTTTCTCTCCTCGATTCGTACTAATATATTTTTTGTTATTATTTTATTTATCCCTTCATTTCGATGAGTATACATACAAATCAAAAGTAGGAGAAAATGAATCTTTGAGATCTTATCATTATTAGCACTAAAATCAACTACAAGCTTTTTCTTTAAATTTTGATTTATTCTCGAAACTAATTTTAAAAAGAAGTTTATCTAACTGAATAAATGTTTATCTATCAATTATGATATACATACTAATAGTTTGATCATTATGCACTTATGCAATTTTTCTTTTTCATGATTTAAGTAAAACTATTATGAAGAGTAAAAGACCATCGATATTACTTAACGCTTTCAACCAAATAACAATTGATGTATTGAAACAAACTGTTGCATTCATGTGAATACATTGTTGTGATTCACTTTTTTTTTTTCATTGTAAATGTCCTGTGATCGTCAGATAAGTAATACGAAAAAAAAA